ATAGCCTAAACAATCTATATTACATGGATCAAGTTGGGTACTTTTTTCTAGAGATACTATTGAATACGGCCTGCTTTATGATTGTTACAAATGTTGTAAGGTGTCATAAACGAAGTGATCCTGATTCGTTCATGTAGAAACACGTGATAGGGGGTGTTCTACACAATGAGATTGTGTAAGACTGACCCTGAAATAATTATTATTACGTATTAACACTGTTTACGGATAACACTGATTAATTTCGTTTATCGATGACCTAGATAACTTGATCTAAATCCTGAACCATCTATGAACTCTTTTTTATTCAGGATTCTTCCTTGATCTGCATAGGTGAGAGTAAACTCATCAGCGCTGCTCAATATGCCTCCCATTTCAGGGATAAGACTGAGTAAATAGCTGGGGACATAGAATTAGCAAGACGGAATTCACTCCTACCTGATTTAGGGATAGTATAGAGATTGCTCCCTTAAGGGCTGATCCCGGGTCTTGAACAAGGGGCATTCTCTCATTGGCCCAAGAGGAATTGGATTTAGTGATTTGATCCTAAATCAATTGTTCATTAGAGGGATAGTGGTACATAAGAAGAAAAGATGTAACTCAGGGGTAAAATGATATTTTTGACCTAGCTGAGGTTACGAACGACCTGTGAAGGATCAACTTACCGATGACAGTTATATCGAATGGACACAAATATACCTACAGTGAGGGGAGTGAATCTATAGGCTATAGTGGACAGTCCTGTTAGTTAACGAATGTTGATTAACTAAGTTAAAGAGATTGATCGGTTAGTCTCAAATCGTTGGAGCCCATGATCTGTAGGTTCATGGGTCTCCATGCTAGCTCATAAAGGATAAAATTGATGAACTAAGTGAAGCAAGAATTTAAAGTGTTCAAATTCGGTTTTTAGGGAATATTGTATTTTATATGATATATAATATATAATTTAATAATTAATTGAGAATTAATTATATTGGAGAGTATGACTCATTTAAATTTGTTTTAAATAAGTTTAAAGCATGAAAAAGAGTTGTAATTTGATTAATGTGATTAATCAAGCTTACATGTCAAAGACCAATTAATATGACATATTAATTTGGCTTGGTTTTTGTTTTAATAGAAAATTCATATTTCATTTTTGGTTTCTATAAAAAATTAGTTTTATAAAAGTTTTATTTAAAAAATCAAGTTAGTGGAAAAATCCAACTTCAAAGTTGAGTTGGATTTTTCCACTAACTAGTGGTTTTTTAAGTATTTTTTCAAGGCAATGACACCTATCTTTTACATGCTAGTGGGGTTTGAAGTGAAAGGCATGCAAGACATGCATTTGGTCTTTATATAGGTTATAAAGATCACTTGGAGAAGGCTAATACTTCCTTGCACAAGTGCAAAATTTTGACACTCAAATTTCTACCGTTTTCTCCTAGCCATTAGTGCTTTCCCTTTGCTTTCACTCATAATTCGATCCCACAACCATATTCATCAACCCGAGGATAGCACGGATTTGCCGTTGGTGGTCCCATTGAGTTAGGAGAAGAAGTTATAGTGGAGGTTTTCAAAAGTATAAAGTTTATCACTTCCTCTTTAGCCTTTTTCATCATATTTTCCAGCATGCTTATTTTAGTTAAATTGCTTTAATAAGTGTATTATGATTCCTAGCTTCCGCTGTGCATGTCTAAAGTTTCATCATATATATATATATATATAATCTTTATTTTTGTTCCTTATATTTTTTTATTTTTAAGTTTCTTTAATCAGTATATCTATATCTATAATATATTTATATTAGTTCGGATATAAAAGAATTATTTTAGCAATATTACCCTTCAATTTTTATTCAATACCATATATGCCCTTAATTTATTGGTAGGTTTTGTTTTGATTTCTTTTTATTATATTTTTTCCTTTTCCTGTTTGAAATTCTATTTTAATTTCATGGATTTGTTTTGATTTTCTGATTTTTTTAATTTTCTTTTCTATTTTAATAAAAAGATGTCAGTTTTAATTTTGTTTTGCCGTTTGAAATTATATTTTTTCTATTTCAATTTTTTATTCAATCTCGTATGTACCATTAATTTATTAGATTAGCATAGGTTTTGTTTTGATATTTTTTTATATTTGTTTTGCTCTTTGAAATTCTATTTTAATTTCGTAGGTTTTGTTTTGATTTTCTTATATATATATATAGTCCTTTAATTCTATTTCAATTCATGTAATTTTGCTTCTAAAAGGTGCATAATACAAAAAAATTTCTCATTATCATTTAATAGTGTTTAATTGTGTAATATTTAAAAGTTTGTAGGATTTTAAAAGTCTTGGAACAACTTCCTTTTATCATTATGTAAAAGGACTCACATTACTCATTTTCAACAACATTTTGAGGTTTACTTTTTTTCCTCATTCTTCTAATTTATTTTTCCCTTTTTATCTCTTACAATATTTTTATTTTTAAGGTTTATTAATCCACAGTATATATACATTTAACATTAAACTATATCATATCCTCACATAAAATATCATGAATGTGAAAATCTCATCCACTCACATATAAATAAAATCCTTTAATATCATATTTTTTGAAAAGTTAAATTCTCTAAGATACTCGCACAAATTCCACAATAATTTAATATTTAATATTTATTTAAAACAAGTATCAAAATATTTAAAATTATAATTTAAATGAGTTCATAAAATTGACAAATGAAAATAGAATGTTAAAACTTAAAATAAAATTTATTTCTAAAAATTAATTATAAATTTATGATGACACTTTCAATATAATTAATAATAAGATTTCAAAAGTTTTAGAATTTGGATAGTTTTATTAGTTTACAACATTCTTTCGCTTCTACAACTGTATAAAAACTCTATCTCTTTATTTATTTTGTTTATAAACAAAATTTTCATTCTCTGTTTAGTGTTATTTCTTTATTGATTAGTAATAATAATGTTTCTTCTAACTTGATATACATAATCATCTTAATTGCATAAAGTATTTATGTTTATTTATTTAATAAAATTTATCCTAAAAATAAAGTCAACTTCACACATCTACATAAACAATATTAAATATCTCAATTGAAAAATAAAATAAATATAAAAACTTATGGATTAACCTCTCTTTACATTCTTACCTCCAAAATTTTTAATTATAAACTTTTATATATAAAATCTTTTAATTATAAGAATTCAAGGAAAAAAAAAGATTAAAACTACAAAAGATTGTGTAATATATATAGATATATTTTCAATAATGACAACATATTAAAACTACAAACTAAATTTTGTCATCTTCCTTCCATATAATTTATTTTTTTATTGTTTTTATATATAATTTTGCAAAGTCTAATTCGACAATTTGGAGATTGATTGTCTAGCTTACATTTTTCCTTTAACTTTACTTCGTATGTATTATGAATTTCAGGCTCTTTTGAATATAATAGTGATATATATATATATATATATATATAAATATAATACATATATAGTAGTTAGTAAAAAAAGCCCCAACATTTTGTATACACTACTCGCTGAACATATTTTTGAATTTTATATAACTTGGTTGGATTGAAAAACTTAAAATATAACGTGCGAAACACATGCTAAAATACTAGTTAATAAAAAATTATGAGTCTCAATACTACAATGAGATAAAAAAAAAAGATAAAAGTTGTAAAATAACTTTTAAAAATATATGAAACCAGAAGAATTAGAATGAGATTGATTAGGTCACTGGGGAGGAATAAGATTCCCTTGAGTGGGAGTTATTTTTGATTTTGAAAGGGTGATATTTTAAAAATCAATTCAGATTGATTTTAAACTTTGAAATATGATCAATAGAAAAGAAGTGATTTTGGCAATTACATAAGAGATTTTTACAAACACACCCTTAGTAATGACTAAAATCACAAGTGATTTTGTCAAAATCACTTCCCTATTGATCGCAAATTTAAAAATTGATTTTTTGAACGTTTAAAATCATTTTAAATTGATTTTTAAGGAATCACTTTGATGGTGATTGAAAAATCAATTATACCTAATTTTTATTTTTCAAAATCACTCATCATACCATTACTCTCAAACACACTCTAAATAACATCAAGAATGTAAGGATCAAAGAGTTAACTAAGTATCAGATGAACGGAATTGAACAAATAATAGGTAAAGATCATGATCATTGGGAATTGAAGAGGGGATACCAAACATACATCAAACTTTTCATTTTTGTTGCAACCATCATGAGTGTCTCATTTACTAAAATAGCAACCATATTTAGTTTTTTGAAATATAACATTTAAAAAAAATATAGATCTAATTTAAAAAATGACGACTTTACCCAACTAATATACATCTATAATATAATATATCTGTAATATGAAAATTTATACTATATTTGAAGATTTTAAAAAAAACAGGTGACATATTTCATAACAATTTTGTACTACCGATTGCAATTTCCCTAGATGAAAGAAGTCTACCAAAATTCGTTCGTACTTGAAGGATAAATCACATTGATAACTTAAAAGGAAATGAAAGTTTTTATTTTCATTCATTGATTATCATTCTTCTAAATTAAACGGACCTAATTTAAAATGATACTTTTGAAATCCGTTAATATTTGAAAACACTCAGAAAAAAAAGGAAGAAAAAAAGGAAAAAAAAAAGAAGAGGAAAAGACCATTAACTACCAAAGTTATAATTTAATCTAAAAGACGACAGAAGACGACAGATGAAGCTTCTAATCCCGTCCAAAGAAGAGTCCAGAAAAAGCAAAAAATTGTCCTGAAATTGACGAAATGCAGCCGCAAGGAGAGTGGAAAAAGAGAGGCTGTGGCCTGTGGAGGGAGAGCGAAAAATACCGCTGGGATCGGACCCACTGCAATCAATACGGCTTTGTTCATGGAGGCCAACGCCCATATGCTCTTGTCCAGTCCCTTTTCCCATTCCCACTTCATTTCCTTCAATTATTTCTCAATCTCTGCCACTGCGAATGTGAGGTACAGTTTAAATGTTAGTCAGTAGGCAGTGGGTGGTGGTAGGTTTGCTACAGCTTCCCCTGCGAATAACGTGCCCTGTCTCCATCACTATAAATACTTTTCTCCCTCTTTTACTCCCCCAGTTTTGGATTTTCTTGTTTTCTCCTGTGAATTTTGAATTTAGGGAACCAAAACCCAGCTGGGTTTTCCACTGTTTATCCAAAATCTAATTTCCCTTCTGCCCCATTTCTTCTTTTCATCTCTTTTGATGTCCTTGTTCCGTACTTTCCCCTTTTGAAGCATCGCCAAAGAATTTCGGGATTTTTGGGCACGGAATAAAGGCAACGCGGGCAATATTCTGATCCTGGGAAAGGAGAGAAAATGACTGAGGAGGGTGTGAAGGATGCGACTTCTCCGGTTCGTCGTGTGCTTTTCATCTCAGCGGGTGCTAGCCATTCGATTGCTCTTCTTTGTAAGCTGCTTCGCTCTTTCTCTTATCCATCTCCTTGCTTTATTGTTTTGGTGATCTTTGTACGGTGCTGATGAAGTTGACTTTGATGAATTTTTGATAAAAATAGTCCTGAAACTTGTGCAATGTGTTGCTGTGTTCTCAATATGGTAAATGACAAAATGTTTTGTCGTTAAAGCTCCAATAGATTTCTGATTGCTGATTATGAACTACTTCCACCAGTTATTCGATGCAGAAACTCTCGAAGTATATGACTTATTAAGTCAACAAACCTTTTGTAGCCTCATATTTTTGTTCCATTGATAATTCCATAATTTATGGAATGAACCAATGGGGTTCTCTCTCTCGTCTCTCTTTCTCTCTCTTGTTAATTTTTCTCCGAAATGTTCTGCTCATCATTAATGGTAGAAGAAATTCCTCTTGAAGAAGGATTAGAAATCTAGAAAGTCATTTGAAGATTGGGGTCTGTTTATAGATTACTCCTTTTGGTCTTTTTGGAGATGCTGCCCTTTACCTCCTTGCCTATTTGTGTATCCTCCATTTTGATATGAAATGCTAATTGTCTCTTATATATATAAAAAAAGAAGTAATTCCATTAGGAGCAATTTTCTCAAAGGATGTTACTTGAAAAGAAAATTTACAACATGAGAGGAATAGTAAATTAAGAAAGAATAGGAAAGGTAAGAACTTTATTGCCTATCCTTTGCTGTGACTCTGAGGGGTGGCTGTGAGATTAAAAACTGATGAGAAACTTACTGTTTGTTTTGCCGTAGACGAATTCACGTCCCATAATTTGAGCTAGGAAGCTATATTTTTCTGAGTGATTATATTGCCTGTCTGCCTCAATCTGCATTTTGTAGTGCTAGAGGGAAGACTTAAGTTCATTTCAATGTCTGTTGATCTAGCGGTTTGATTTTGTAAACTAAGGATTGATTGTTTTTCAAGTATAATTGAGGCACCTTTCTACATTGTTTCATTTATTTTTTCTTGAGTCTGTTTTTTTTTTTGCACGTTGATTCTACATGTCACACATGACTATCCACTCACAATGTTGTTTTAATAGTGTATAAATTCCTACCTCCTACCTCCTATGGTGTTTAAACCATAGGAAATTCTTTTGTAACTATAGTCTAACGACGATCAACCAAGATTGGAGAGCTATAGCCTGTAATTCACTTACTCTTTTAGGGGGGCCGCTCATCCCTGTCCTTAGGCTGTTTTTTTGCTGCCTCTAATACATATTTTCTGTTTCATATAAAAAGAAAAACTAGAACTAATTTACAAAGATAACCCCCTTTTTTTTGTACTTTCATACCATCTAGCTAGGCAATGTCTTGGTTTCCTATAGATTCTTTTTGAGCCACATTTAACCATTCTTTGGATGGTGTGCAGCTGGAAATGTTGTTTGTTCTTGGGGTCGTGGAGAGGATGGTCAATTAGGTCATGGAGATGCTGAAGATCGTCTTTCCCCGACACAATTGAGTGCATTGGATGGCCATGAAATAGTGTCTGTTATTTGCGGAGCTGATCATACGATAGCTTATTCTGAAGCACGTACAGAAGTTTATAGTTGGGGATGGTAAGTGATTGCTCTTTTTAAAACATCCTATTTGCTTATTAGTTTGATTTAACTCCATTGTCAAGATCAAGTTTAATCATTGAAGAAAAGACTCAGAGGCTTTTGGAGACATATATCCACGAACCATCTATAATTCTAATGATTGAAATAGTTTTAAACCCATAAAGAATCACTTTGACTGGGTCTTCATAAGCATTTTAACTAGATAAACATCACTAATTTTATACTGTTTCCCGACAATGTTTTGAATTTGGTTTTGTGGGGTGTACTTTGAGTTGGGGTTCTTATTTAAGTTGGTCAAGTTGAAATTTTTTTAATAATATTTTTTGGTTAAAGAAAAATATTATTAATTTTTTTTAATAATATCGCTGGGACGTATCTTATCTACTATTTTATTTAACTTGATCTACTATTTTATTTAACTTGATTTCCAGGGGTGACTTTGGGAGGTTAGGTCATGGTAATTCTAGTGACTTGTTCACACCAAAGCCAATTAAAGCGTTGCATGGTCTTAGGATAAGACAAATTGCTTGTGGAGATAGCCACTGCTTGGCAGTAACTATGGAAGGCGAGGTGCAGAGGTCGGTAGATTTCCCAATCCTTATCAACTTTATTTTATTTATTATCTCAAGGTTATAATTTTTGTGTAACTCAACCTTTTTGATGGGTTATTTGGAGCAATGGTTCGTCTCTTTTGGTAGTGGTAGTGGTGGGTGGCGGTATGCGTCATTCTGTTACATGGTTGACCAATAGAACCACTTTCCTCCCTCATGGAGTCATCAGGCTTCTTTTCTGCTCTTAATTATTTGTTTAAAAATTTTATCGAAAAAAGTTATCTTGGTTTCAGTGATTTAAAAAGCGTGCCTAGGCGCTCCGCGAGGCGATCTGAATGAGGCGCGCGAAAAGCTCGCGCCTCATATGAAATGTCGAAGCCCATGAAGCGCGGGCTTCATGGGCTTTTGTTTAAAAAAAAAAATTTAATCAACAGACCCTAAACACAAGGGTTTTTGCGTTTAGGGTTTGTTTTTTTTAAACAAAATTGAAACTGTCGCACCGCACCCCACGTCTATTTGACTTTTGAGATTTTTTTTTTAATAATGGAAAGAATCTCAACAGATTTATTTCTTCCTCCCACGTCATTATCATCTTAACCTTTTCCTATTCGTATTCCTTCCCATGCACAAAAAGAGTTCAATAGTCACAATTTTTTCGTATTCCTTCCTCTTTTCCCATTCAATTTCGACTCTCTCTCTCTGCATTTCTCTAGTCTTTTAAATTTCCACAATTGGACTCTCTGCATCTATCCCTCTTTGTTTCAACTTTCATCTTTTGTAAGCGATTGTGACTCTCAGCATCTCTCCCTCTTTGTTTCATCGTTTGTAAGCAGTAACAGTAAGCTCTCTTTTTCTCTGTTTCTATTCCTATCTCTCTGTATTTCTGATTTTTTTCTTCTCCAACAGAAGTACAGAACAGTCATCTCTTTCCCTCTAGGTTCTATATTTCTATTTTGATTTCTTAATTCTTCAATGGTCCAACTTTCCAACATATTATATTGATCCGAGTCTTCAAATTTACTTGGACTGTGGACAGTAAGCTCTCTCTCTTTCTCTCTCTTTTTTTTTTTCGTCTCATTTTCTTTCCCTAAAACAGCACTAGAATTTCATTTATTTTTAAATATCGATTAAAATTTAGGATGTCTAACGAAGGCTCAAGAAAAGATCCGGCATGGAAGTATGCTGCTTTGGCAAATCCCCATGATATGACTACATTTATTTGTAGTTTTTGTTCAAAAATAACAAAAGGAGGTGTTTATAGGGTGAAACAACATTTTGTTGGAGGTTATAGAAATACAACATCATGCAAGAAATGTCCGGACCATGTGAAGGAAGAAATTAAGGAGCACATGTCCAAAAAAAAGGAGATCAAAGAACAAAGAAATCTTATACCTGATATTGATGACGAAGATTTCGGTATGGATGATGAGGACGAGGATGATTTGGTCCTAACTAGTTCGAGTAAGAGACCTTATAGTCAAAGGCCAAGTTTAGACCCTAAGAAGCCAAGACAGAGGGGTCCAATTGATGCATTTTTTACTCCTAATCCAAAGTCAGTAGTTCTGAATCGAAAAAATGAGAAAGGCAAACAAACGACACTTAATGAAGCTTACAAAAAGGAAATGAGGGAGCGCACAGTACAAAGAATAGCGTGGTGGTTTTATGATTCCGGTATTCCTTTGAATGCTTGCAATTATGAAAGCTTTGCGCCTATGGTTGAAGCAATAGGACAATTCGGCCCTGGACTA